ATCTAAATCCCTTGGGGAAGGTGTGCTCTGTGTAGTGGGAGCTCTGCTGCAGAATGAGCTCCAGGGAGGAGCTTTGTACAAACAGGCGGTGCTTTGTAACAGCAAGCATTTAGGCAGCTCCTCATGGCTACCACAAGGATTTATTAAAAATGCGTGAGTGAGTTAAAGCAACACTCTGGAGTAACATAACATGATATTAAACTTAAAAAAGTATTTTTTAATAATACCCCCCCTCCCCCTTGACCTATTGCAAAGTGGCTGTCATGTTGAAAAAAAAAAGTTTTACTTCACATAATTACACTGATGGAACATAAATTAATAAACACTACCATCTCCCTTCAACAACAACAAAAACATGTTAGGTTTGTTAAACAACACATTCATGTTGTCTGTCRTCTGTCAAAGCTAGTTTCATAAAATTAAAAGCTTAAATTTGATTAGATAGTGTACACGTGGCAGAGTGCTTAGGGGAGGTGATTAGGGAAGTTGTCCTGCAACCAGTGGGTGTCTGGTCCGATCCCTCATTCCATCCGTTTCAGTCGTTGTGTTCTTAGGCAAGACACTTTGTTGGTCAGGTGGTGTCAGTGCATGGCAGCCTCGCCTCTGTCAGTCTGCCCCAGGACATCTGTAGCTACAATGTAGCTTACCACCATCAGTGTGTGAATGTGCGAATGACAGTATGTGTAAAACACTTTGAAGTCCTTAGGGACACGATAAAGCGCTATACACGTTCAGGTCATTTACTATTTCTCAATAATAATAATTTTTTAAATGGTGGGTGTACTTACAACAGGTTGATAACTTGGAAAATGCTCCCCAAGGTAGAACATCAACAACATGAACCCAATGAAACCAAACAGATGTGTGCACATCTTAGACCACGGCACAGGGCTGGGAGTCGTATCCACACGGTTTCTGATGTACATGTCAAAATGCCAGTGCATCTAAAACACAAWCAAACAAAAGAAACAAAATAAGTTTGCCATCATTAACTATCTCAAACTGCTATCAATGCTTAAATACAAAGGTGACTGATCAAAAACAACAACAGCAGCCTGAATTCCTAGCTGCAAAAGTCATCAGCTTCTTACTGGCTCTCCCCAGTTCCTCCTCAGGTCAGGGTGGTCCCACTGGTACCAGGGGTCTTTCTCATGTTGAGACTTGTCTGGAAGTTTAGGGTAGTCACCATAGCTATTAAAACATAATGATGGCATCTAGTTAATTATGCAGTAAATTGTGKTTTTTAGTATAAACAATGATTGCAGCAGCAGAAGTCAACATTTGGCAACACAAGTATAAATGCTTTAACTTCTCTTACTTGCAATAGAAAAAAATGTGCAATAAAATGTGTTATGACAAAAGATGTTTTCAGAGTAAAGCTCACCCCTTGCCCTCATCCGGATATGGTTCATAGTCCTCAATCGTCATATTGTACTTTTTAGCAGCAGCCGCTCTCTCCTCTGGAGTCTTCGGGTACGGACCAGGCACCTTGTCCTTTGACAAACCCGAGGCTAAAGCAACAACAAACGTACTTTCAGAAGACATCGAATATATTGCGCCAAAGCCCAAACAAATAAATAAAAACATACGACTTTACAGTGTTTGCCTCTTGCAGCCGCTCAGGTAGCCAATGCTACCATTAGCATGCCAAGGACAAGGTTACATATATAGGCTTTAATTATAAATCGTGAAAAATATATTTAGGCAAAGCTATTTCACTYAACTTTTAAACATAAACAAAATAGAACTGACCTGCTCTACATCCAGATAGGAGGGCTGAAAGGCCAGGACCTTTCMCTTTGGCGAGAGGTTTTACCAAACGTCGGAAACCAAGCCCAGCCATGTTTACTGGCTGGCTACTTGACGGAATGAAACTGCGCATGCGCGACTACAGAAGTACGGGCCGCGGTAAGGGACAAGTTTATAWATAGGGATGACCAACATCTTGGTTATTCAAACTTTTTTTTTTCCAAAGATTTTTTTTTAGCTGTGGGTGAGTTCTGTCTCTACTAGACGTTTTGAACAAATTATTCCTTCTTTTAAAATTTCTTGTATAAATAACTACAGTTCCTGTAAGTTTTGTATTATGTATTAAATAACGTAATAAACAATGCTCTCTTTAACTGTTCATACTGTATAYACTGAAACATGTGGAGTGCTGCACTCAATTATTGTTCTGTAAGTTTCTCTCATGTCACAAAAAATAAAACTAAATTATTGTCTTTTTTTGCCTCAGGGTGTGTCAAATGATGCAGTTAATATAAACRATATTAACACAATAACAGTAAATACAAAATTAACAATAACAGTGAGCATGTTTTATATGTGTTTTATTGTAATTTTAGAGCAACGTGAAAACTCCTCAAGTGGCTGAAGGGAACTTGCACTCAGACTGAATGCACTGAAGTTCTGACACACGTTCCTCTTCTCTTCAGATCAAACTCAGGTGCACACATGCATTTACTGAGAAGTCGTCACTCTGCCACCAGTGAAAGATCATGTCACATCCATCAGAGAAGAAGTGCTGCAATGTCCTTCTCAACTTCGTCAGTSGGGGAGTGAAGTTCATATCTGCAGAAAATGTAAGATATTGTCCAAATATATCAAAAGATTATAGTTGTTTTAGGTAGCCGACAGCCTTACCTTTTGAAGGGCATGCCATTTGCGTTGATCAAAAACTTCTCAAAGTTCCATCTAATGTCATTAACRTTAATCGGGGACCAGTAGAACTTTTTGATGTCTCCAATAACAGGATTCACAAATGGCAGAGACTCCTGTGGAGAATATGAAGAGTCAGTGCTGCAGGTCTGACGGCTAATAAAGTATATTTGTTAACCGTTTAAAATGTATTAGTTCTTCATAATATGGCATCATACCTTTAGGTAGGTAAAAAGAGGTTCCTCATTTAGCCCATTCACCTCAACTTTGGAAAACACAGGAAACTTTGGCACAAACCCACCACCGGGTCTCACATACTTCAGAATATTCAGCATTTCCTCATTTCCCTCTGAAAAGATACATGTGAAATTTGCTATTACTTGTGTAATATACATGTCTCTAGATTCACACCGTGTTCAGCTATGAATTGGGGCGGAATAAATGTTTAGAGATCCCTACCTGGTGACTGAAGACCAAACTGGTTGCAGGGGAATCCTAAAACAGTGAAGTTGAGGTYACCAAACATTTCCATCAGTGCATTCAGTCGATGGTACTGAGGAAATACGAAACAAAACAAAACACTTTCAATAAAAACAGCCAAAATAATTAATTCAAAATGTAATCAGTGAGGAATCACCTCCTCTATTGTTGCCCCTCAGAAGGTTGCAACATTGACAACGAGCAGCACTTTTCCTCTGTAGATGCTCAGAGGAACCTGCTCTCCATCCAAAGTCTCTGCAGAGAAATCATAGATCGACCCGTCTGCCATGCTCATTCTTCACCTTGTATTTGGACGACAGGAGTGAGTATTCACACGTCCATCCTGTTGGCTCGTCTCATTCACTGAAATATAACTCATGGCTCAGCAATTGTTCAGCGTGACTGACTTCATTGTTCATCGGAGCAGAGGTGAGGTGGCAGGGTGACTAACTGTTCGACCAGGAAGAGCGGCACTTGAAATAAACTTTATAGAATTGGGTCACTAAAAATTCAAAGTAACCATTGTGGTTTTAGAGTAGATTGTTCTTGTTTTAGTGACTTCCTCTGCTCTAACTGTGTCAAAAAGTCCAACATTAGCAGATAAAATGGTTTAGCAAAGCTGTTTGTAACTGTGGTTGTACTGAGCTTTTGTTCTGTAACGCATAAACACTGAATGATTTGGGTTTTATTTCTATTTGATCAGAATTTTCCACATACTTTTTAAATTATTATTTGATATGGGTGGTAACAGATTTCATGTGGATAAAGCAATCAGTCCTGTTTACATGTGTGTTACTACTACTTTTTACATGGCTTCCATGAAAACAAATATTTGAAAAATTAAATTACACATTATATGTTTTAATGATAAAATATCTGCATCCATTTCCTTTAGCCACAGGAAATTTAGGGCTTTGGTTTTTGATTTTAAAGTTAATGATGTGTATTCTTATTAGATTACATATTTTTGAAGATTTTTGTCACACAAATGCAACATTGTTTTTTTTAAATAAAATGAGACAGTAATGGGAAACCGTATCAAAGAGGTATTTATAAATATATTTCAAAAAGTAATTTTATTGTAAGGAAAACAAATATATTTCATTTATTTCCTCGAGTCTGCTGCAATCCGAAAAATTAAGACCGCTGCGTTCAAAAGCTCAACGTAAATGCTGTAAACAGTGGTTCATTTGTTAAATAAACCTTCAAAGCAATCATAAATAATRTATTTTGTACGTAAATAACAGCTTGTTGCACATTTACTCACAAAGAATGCGACGCAAGTTAATGTTTTTGTAAACGAAACCAAAAATGCAATTTTTGGCAACAGCCGCTATTTTATTCCTAAACACATATTGAGATGGAAATTACAGTTAATACTCAATTTTAACGCGTTACCTTTTGTTATTTTCTTTCTAGAACGGAGAAAATTTGGAAAAGTTCGCGATTTTATGTGTTGGGTCGTATTTGAATTTTAATGAACAATATTTTCCGACTGTTCGTGAAGGTACCTTGTGGTTTAGGTTACGCCTCAAAACGCTTCGCAAGATGCTAAAGCAAAAAATATGCTGCTTTGGTATCTAATTAAAGAACAGCACCGCCTGATGAAGGTTGTGTAACATAATCGGCTCATGATGGAGGAAGAGGCTAAGGCGCAGACGTAAGTGGCTTTTAATAGGATTTTTATATCTTAAAAACAACTGAAATGGTGAACCCGGCAGACTAGCTAATAGGCTAACAGCGATAGCTCGCGAGGAATAACTCAGCCACTAAATCTGTAGCTTGTCCCATTGTAGTAAAGGTTTAAATATGTGTTATAGCGACATGGTCAAAGTAACACGTTACACAAACAATTTTAATTGTTTGAATTATATTTTGTTATTTGTGAATTTGTAAATATGTGCTTGTTTTCGTATTGCGTAGTGTCAAAGTTCAGCTGTAATATGTGTTCTCCTGCAGATGTCATCTCTTGGACCTTCCCTGGGAGGATGTCCTCGTCCCACATATTTTGTCCCATTTACCTCTACAGCAGCTCGTTAGCCTGCAGAGAGTGAGCAAGCAGTTTCACAGCCTCGTCCAGGTGTGCCTGGCCAACTGCAGGACTTTTAATTTTTCACTGGTAAGCAATGATGAAACAAATTCTAATGACGAATGAAACATTTCTTGAGCTTTTTGCTGTGCTGTAACATTCGCAGATAGGACCGTGCATTCCCAAGGAAGCGTTTTGCAACATGTTAAAGGACAATAAAGTTCTCCAGAACTTGTCACTTCAGAATTGTTCCAACTGGGTTACAGACAAGGAACTGCTGCCCGTCGTCGGCCAGAATCAGCATCTGCAGAGGGTGGACATGAGCGGCTGCGCTTGCCTCACCCGTCACTCCCTGGTGGCTGTATCCTTGAGCTGCATGCATCTGCAGCATCTTGGCCTGGCTCATTGCGAATGGGTGGACAGCCTGTCCCTGCGCAGCCTGGCTGACCACTGYGGGGGGCTCCGGTCGATCGACCTCACCGCCTGCCGCCAGCTGAAAGACGACGCCATCTGCTACATGGCCAGGAAGTGTTYGGAGTTGAAGTCTCTATCACTGGCAGTCAACGCCAACATTACGGACGAGTCGGTGGAAGAGGTGGCCAAGAACTGCAGGGGTCTGGAGCAGCTGGACCTGACAGGTTGTCTGCGGGTCAGAAACCAGTCCATCAGGTATGTTACGTTTTATCTTCAACTGCAGACTTGTTGCCAAAACCCCCCTTGTTCACCTATCCATAAGCTCTCCTGCTTGCTGTGCTCACAGGACTCTAGCAGAATATTGCCCAAAACTGCAGTCCCTGAGGGTGAATCACTGTCACAATGTGACAGAGTCGAGCCTGGATCCTCTGCGGAAGCGCAATGTAGTGATTGATGTCGAGCCGCCTTTACAAAGGGCTCTGGTGCTTCTTCAAGACGTGCTGGGGTTTGCCCCTTTTGTCAACCTGCAGATTTAGCCAAAGGGGAATATATCTGCCCAGCAGGTGCTCACAGGTAAGGTATTTGTTTTGTTGCATATCACTTTTTTATTTATTTCTATGGAAATTTGTCGCAAAAAAGCCACAATTGGAGTTGAATCTTTTTTTACCATCAGTTGTTTTTGACAGTCATTTCAGTTTGTGCTTTCTTTTGTTGCAGGCGACTTACAGCTGTCACTTAAAAGCTGCATCACGTGGACACGTTTATGACAAATGCTTCAGGAAGATGTGATTTTGACGTTTTCACAAGTACGTGACTAAAAATGTGGACATAAAATAAATCACTGGAATGTGACCAATAGTGGATGTTTAAGGTGTCACAAAAACTAAGTTTTATTTTGCAACTCATTGAAGGAAGCCATGAACACTTTTCAGCTTCGCTGCCTCTTGTCCAAGCTGCACTTTTTCCTTTATCACTTGGTGTCGTAACAATGTGGCTTTTTTTAATTGAATTTAATTTTTTTTGGGGGGGGAAACAACATTTTTACCTAAAGTGTATTGTGTTATTTTGTTGCTTGTTAAAACAAACTGCAAAGCGATTGTCTTTTGTTTCATTTGGAAACATTTAAAAATGTTTGCGTTTTATTAAACGTTTCATTTTGCGTGATTTTTCTGTCGTAAAAAGGGTCAGGTCATCCAAAATCACACAGAAACGTCTTCATTTAATTTGTGAAGGTTTTCTCGTTTTTATTTTTGATTTCTGCTTTTAATTAAAGGTAAATGAAGTCACTGCAGAACACTGCAGTGTGTTTATCAGCTGTTATTTTTCAGTTTCATAATAAAAACTGAGACTTTCTTCCAGATTAAAGACACTCAGAGATGACATGATGAGCATATAATGTTGGTGACGTGAGTGGTGACCCTTTAAATCATTTTATCTAAATGCACACTCTTACTGCTTGTTTGAATCTGTTCAAGACTGTTTCCCACTAAGTCTCTAAATAGATTTTAAAAGAACTTGTTGAAATGCTGTTGATCTGTCACACAGTACATGAGTTATTAAAAAATAAATAAATGTAAAAATACCACCTAAAATAACTTGTCAGTTTTCTGATGCATAATTTAATCTGTTAAAAATGTAAACGTTATGAATATTTTAATTATTGACGCTTACATAAATATACTTCCATGTTTTTAGGTTATAATAGGTGGAACACAGTTCCTCCTATTTATATCATTGTATTTAAAGGAGTCTGTTCAGATTGGTAATCTGTGGTTTATAACCTAAATTGACACTTGATGGCAGCAATGAGTCAAAAATGTCACTTGTTATTGGAATTTTGCATTAGTTTTTTTTWAAAACAACAGTTTATGACAGCGACATGATGGTTTTATTGCATGGGTACAGATGTAATATATACAAATGTTTTGTTTTCCAGTGATTTTGAGTGAAAGTAAAAAATAATTCACCTGCCTAACAGATTGTGACAGCTGAACTTGCAGGATCTTGTTATCTTTTCTGACACACCGGATGCAACATAAGAGCTTCCTCCTGTTGCCGCAGCTTCCTGCGGTTTCCTCTGGTGGTCCACTTGGCAGACTTTGCTGGATCACGTTTCTGTGACAACACAACAGGTCTATTTTCCACATGATGGCATGATTTACCMCATCTGCTGCGTGCCGGCCACAAGCTGAATTTTGGGGGACTTCAGGGATTGAACAGCATCCTTTTGTTGGATGTTTTGATCGTCATATTGTTTTTTTTTTTTACCGCTGCTCCTCAGAGAAGGCATTGTGATGTTACTCATTATTTTATTTTAAGGTACTTGATTAGAAGGTGAAATCGATTTGACATTGTTACCTTTACACGTAGAAAAAATACAATCCTCCAGCAGGCTTTTATTTCTGTTACAAAGCAGCACTCCGTGGGTTAAAAAATATTTCAGACTACATTCATCATCCAGAACCTCAATTAGCATTGATCTGCAGGAGGGAAAAGAAACATTGGTGCAATATTATATTCCATGGAGCAATTTCTGTTCCAGTGATTGAGTGTATGGAGGGGATTTCTCAAACATTGTCGGCCAAACATATTTTGTCTTCCTGTCAATAATCTGGCACTTGTCTAAATTATTGATCAATAGCAACTGATCATTTTATACCAGGGCACAACAATGAAGTTGGTTCACTCAATTCATGATGCCGTTTTAGCTCCAGGCACAGTGTAATATATTGTTCTTATTAAAACAATGAATAAATCTGAGTTTCCTCTTTAGGTGCTCACAAAGTCCTTGCTGACAGAGGAGCTTACAGATGCTGCTTCGGGGTGTGTGAGTTCGGTTTATGTGTGGTGGTGGGGGGTCACATTACAAGGATGGAACTAGTTTATCTTAGCCAAAGCTACGATCAGAGCTAAATTATCCAGCTCATGGGTTGGAGCTGTTGGACTGCAAAAACTGTCCATCTTACCAAGTTTTAAAATCTYDTATCCAGCCAAAAAGTCTTTTTGATCTTGTTTTGAGACTGATTTACTAAACAAGAACTGATTGTGTAAGAATAATAATCTTGTTTTCAGATTGTGTAAGATTATTAGTCTTGTTCGCCTGAAAATTTGACTCAAATTAAGTGAAAAATTTCTGTCAATGGAGTCAGAAAATTTTACTTGGTAAGATTCTCGAAATAAGAAAAAAAAAAGAATCAAATCAAGTATTTCAAGAATCTTAACCAAGTAAAATTTTATTACTCCACTGGCAGAAATTTTTGACTTCATTTGAGTCAAATTTTCAGGCTAATTAGACAAATAATCTTACACATTCTGAAAACAAGATTATTATTCTTACACAATCAGCTCTTGTTTAGGAAATCAGTCTCAAAACAAGATCAAAAAGACTTTTTGGCTGGATATAMGATTTTAAAACTTGGTTAGGTTTTTTGCAGTGTGGGTCGGGCACTTTTGGGAGAAAAATGTATCACGATTAATTAGTCGATATGACGATTTATAGATGACGATTGTGCTTGCATGTGGCCGACGTTGTCGCCTCAGTCCGCATTTTTCTGGCTTTCCTTGTACTCCAGTTTATGTCTGTGTTTCAGGTGATCAAACAAGTTCGTTAACGTTAGGGTTAACGTTAATGTTAGGGTTAACGTTAACGTTAGGGTTTAACGTTTACTGCTCCACGCCACCTTCCACCATTGGGCCTGCTAGTGATGGTCTGTCGCACACAAAATTGCAATCAGGCAAATATTAATTGTTGACTGTTTTTCTGATGATTAATTGCACACAATGAATGACAAGGGCATAACTGAGTTTATGCTTTCTTTTGTAAATCGATTCAGGATATTTTGGGGTTAAAATACACTGTACTGCTTTTACTGTGAGTTACCTAACTTTCTTGTTTTCTTTGTATTTACTCTGCACCTTTCCTGTTCCACGTCAGTTCAACAAAGAGAAAAGACTTACCATTTTTTTTCCACCAGTAACAAATATTTTACATTTTTAGTACGTGTTATGACATACATCAATTTCTCAATATTCGAAGAGTATATTTACCTGGTGAACTACAGGTTGGCTAGGAAAAATTACAACACCTTTGTGATGTTTATTTGGGGGAGGGGGTGTCATATTGACTGGATTAAATTATTGTAGGGATCATAACCCCCTAACCCCGTCACAAGTTATGCTTATACCCTATGTTGGACTAGCGTCTAGCTATTTATTCTGAGCTTTACTTGGTCAAAAAAAAAAAGCTTTAAAATCTCTTTACAGATCACGGCATCAGGAAATGATTTTTCAAAATGCATGATTGCAAGATGAGCCTAGAAATGACACAAAAACGTTGATAGCTTGSTTGAGGAATTAAACCAGGACAGATTTAGACACAACTCTGATTTCTGTTTCYGATAAGATGTGACAGACACGAATATTTTTGTGGATTTGTGAAAGTCTGCAAAGGAGAACATAAATCTACATCCCAGGTAAAAAAGGAGAAAATTACTGCTGGACCCTCAACATTGTCAACAAAACAAAACAAAAAACACTGTGGTCAGATTGTTGCAGCTACATGACAAGTTAACTTTTCTGACCAAAACTAAAACCTTGAAAGGATCAAACATTTCCCTCAACAAAGACTTTTGAAACCATCTGGCAGAGAGAAGACTCTACTCCCAGCAACAGAGCGCTGAAACCGAATTAGTTAGATGTGATTTTTACACTGAACCACATCTAAAAATTCTTGTTCATTAACATATTAAAAGCTAAAACGATAAAATAATTCAACTTAAATTCAAGCTTAAGTTAGGAGAAAYCTTTACTGATAATGTGTAGTAACGTTGTTTTGCTCTGTGTGACTATGTTGCTAAATTGCMCAGTTTTCCTTTGATTGTATTTTTATTTATTTATTTATTGCAGCTCTTTTGTCTCAGTGTTTGCTCTGAGGTAGACCTCTCCATATAGCCTCTAATTAATGTTAATGTCTGTTCCCTTTAAAAAAAAAACACACATTTTTGCTCTGGCACCAACAAAAACAGCAAATAATTTGACTTCAGCGACAGACAGGTCCTGATTTGAAGTGCCTGTGAATGTAAACATACAGAATTATCATTGCATGTTATTTAACTACAGATAGTGTTTTTGTCTTGATGTTCTAAATTACGACACATTTGGTGCAAGCATGAAAATGTGCTCAGTTTTGTTACATGCAAAAGGTCAAAATAAAGTCACTAAATATACTTAGCTTAAAATAATAAAGAAACAATATAAAAATCTTCWAGGACATGACGATCACTTAAGTTATAACCAGATATAACAGTCAGTAACTGGTTAAAAATACTTCCCAGCTTAAGTCAAGTTTATTTTGATGTTTTTAAGATGAAGAGAGAATTACTGCAGCCGTTCACACAGGCCCAAAAAACAGTGTCAGAGATTTTGTTCATTTTCATATTTTTAATTAAGAAGCCATTCCCTCCGTCTTCCATCAGTTATTTCATTTATTTGATGTAGTTTATCTCCTCCAACCATTCATATACAAACTTATTGGATCCCGGGACTTAAGGATCCATCTTTTGGTCACCACAGAAGCATAACTAATGACAACATTACAGTGCCTTTGTGAGCGTCAATCAACCAAGCAAAAAATAACGTTGGGTTTTTAAATCGGCATGATTAAACATGTATGTTTAAAATCTGTGCAGCTCAATTTAAACGCATTTTAAAGTGGGGAAGTACTGAGGCTGATGAACTMTAAGGTTGGTATGAGTATTAAGGAAATGAGGGCTTAATAAAAATTTGAAAAGTATGTTATACCACACATAAAGTCAGACACAGCTGTATTTTCAGCCTCTAAGAAACATTTAGGAAAAAGTTAAATACGTTTTGAAAAATTCCCAATAACCATATGTACTTCTGAGTACACAGGACAGGAACTTTAAAATAGTTAAAACGAAAGTTTTATTCATTTTGCAATTTATTTTAAATGACTAGAGGGTCACAACCATGTGGATAAAACCTTTCTTGTTCTGAGAAAATGGCTCTTTATCACTATTTTTCTGAGTTCAACACAAAAAAAAACATTTTGGTGATTACACTATGTCACATCTTATCAATACTCAATATTTATACAATAAATATATAAGTCTCAATATATATGTACTAATAATCAAGATGTTTAATGTATTATGGCATTTATTCTGATTTGTTACTGATGCTTTTAGGAAAATTGTACGACAATAGATGGCATCAGTCAAATCATTTTATACAATCTGCTTTCAAATTTCGTGTTTGCTGGTGTTTACACCTCACACTTTCAGCAACGTGTCCCCCAAAGCAATCGGTTTGCTTGTTATTCTCCCCCTATATGAGGCCTTTTACATGTAATTCTTCCTTAAAAACAGACACATTCCTCCACTTTAGTCCAGCTATGTAAAAGGTGACCTTCACCCTGCAAATCTGACCTCAAGCTTTCTGTCACCACCCCGACTCAGAGCAGCACMCACGATCCAAGTTTTTTTTTTTTTTGGCGGTGCTCAAATTGGCGACAATAAAAACACAGCGAATGACCTAATGGAGAATATGTACACAATAAAAGTGATGGCGATTT